TGTAATTTGTATTCAGTAATGAAATGGAATTCAATATATATTTTTTGTATTTGTGTACATTAATATTGATTATTGTGAATGAGTTTGTGGTTTTAAGCAACAGAAAAGCTTCCCTTTAACAGAATCCTTGAAAATCTAGTGAATTATTCATGTGCATCAGTTCGTAACACCCATATTTATGCAGGAGACAAATAGCCTTATGAAATATGAAAAATAAGAAGGCAGCTGATCTGGATATTGCGATCTGTGCATGAATGCTTGCAAGTAGGGTTTGTCGAATTACACACTCTGCTTCATCATGACTTGGTGAAAAGAAAAAGCTTAATTTAGTTTCATAAAGGCTTTGTGTACTATGTATTTCTGCATTACGGATCTGTAGATAAGTGTCAGTAATGGCTTCACAGATGAACCGCATCCTAGTAATGCATTGAGAGGAAACCCCAGTAAAAAGCTTCCTGTCAAACAGGACATAAACCTGCAGGAGGTGCTCATTAACTTTAGCATGCAGCTGTTAATCACAATTATGGAACCTCAGAGAAGGTCATATCTCTGTATAGCCCTGATTTATTTATGATAAATCCTCATAGATGATGCTTACAGTAATGGATAACTGAATATTCCTGACCAGTTATTTCATTCTGAACACAGTTACTGTATGTGGACTAGCTACTTGCTGCTATCTATTAACTTTTAGAACATAAAGTCAACAAAGTTAACTGAGGTCAGAAAAACGCTTTGCTATATTTTAAGAGGTTTAGGACGGAATGGAGTACATCGTATCCTGGCATCGTTTCACTTCAATCGTAGAGACAGTTTTAGTCACTACTTCAGATGGCGGATATGGATTAAAAACATAATTCATCAGATTTGTGTATGTTTTCAGGTTTTACAGCTCCTGCCTGGTACAAATTGTTCCTGCCAAGAGACTGACTTAAAGCCAGGAGATTTAGACTTTGCAATCAAAGCAAAATGACTAGTTTTCCAGACCGTCTTAGCTTTTCTTGTGATCTTTAAATTTGTTTATCTGGATGTAATCTGATGTCATATTAGGTAAATGACGTTGGTGTGAATGTTACTGGTAAACTAGACTTCTTCATTTTTTGAACTAAATGTGAGTGTTGTCATCAGGATTTTAAAGTTTACCTCTGTATACTCTCCCAATTGAAAAGAACTCGTTCATATTATTATGATATTTTGGTGCTGAGATATGACAGGTGAGTCCAGAAGCTTCAAGTGCAGAAAGATGCTGAAAATGTTAAAAGTCTTGGGCAGAAGAAGAATAAGTATTGCTTGTAAGAATTAGTTCTATAGTCTTTGTTGGTGGCAGCTGCAAAATGAAGTGTCTGTGCCATCTTGTGGTGATCAGGAGAAATGATCACTTGGATGAAAATGGCATGTTTAAATTTATTATTTGATTTTCTGTGCCATGTAATTTTCAGCCAATGGAAGTTTTTGCCTTGTTAGGTTCCATTTATTTAAATTTTTTTTCTTGTAAATGTATTTAAATATTTAAACCAAGTATCACGGCTGTAGACATTGTGGCATAGACTGTAGTAAACAGTTTAGCTTTTTTTTAACACATAAAGTTTTTGATTTAAAACTTGTATATGATTTAAAGAAAGCAGATGGAATGTTTATTAAGGTAATAAAAATAATGTCTGTAAACCTTTGCATCTTTCCACACAATCAGTTTAAAAATGTATCTCGTAAAATATGGTTGCTTCAGTTTGTGGCTTGGAAAAAGCAATAAACTGGATTTATTATTATTATTTTTATTTTATTTTAATAAGTCAGTACCTATTAGTTCTAACTCTATCTCTTTTTATTCTTGAGAGTTTGCATGCTTTCCAGAAGGTGGTGCTGCGGCACAAGATGAAATTTCATGCACAACCTGACAGACAAAACTTGTGATCAGACTGCCAGATTTTGCAGATTCCCATCTTGCCATAAGAGACTATGTGAATATTACCAATCTATTAAAATGACTGCAGAGTTGATTCCCTTGCTTTTAAAGTTTTACAGCACAGACAGTCAGTATTCAGCAATGGACTCACTGTTCTACGCCATCTGGTTCTTAAAAGTGTATTCCTCAATTTGATGACCATTCAGAATTACACTTATATTCTAATGCTCTAGTGGAGCAATAAATGAATCAAAAACAAGAACAAAACACCAGCAAATTGAGCTTATTATGAAGACTCTCTCTGGCTTAACTTGGATATTTACCACTGAAGTAATCAACCATCGTTTATACATAACGAATTGTTGAATTTCAATAGATTTGTCCTCTATCTGTCATTGTCAAAATAGTCTTTGATTTAATGTCCAATGATGTTTCACTGACTCTAAGAATGAATTTGGATTTAATTTGAAGTATAGTTAATCACAGCATTATATTCCTTGGCTAGTTTCATTGCACAGAAACAAAAACAGATGTATCGCCTTTAAAATATTAAACTAACACTCTGCTGTATTGCACACAAAAGATCACACATACAGTAGCAGACTTATTTCCCGACTTTTGCCGCTTTCATCAGTGATACCATTTATACTGCTGTAATATCACTGAATATTGGATCATTCACTCTTTTTGCACTCAGCGTGAAAGCATTAGGTCATTTTTTGCCACCTGACTGAATCATCTTACTCTGATCTTGGTGATGATGTGACTGTTGCTACAGCAACATGTTCTCATTGATATGTGTAAATGATACATTAAAGTGAGATGCTAAACTGCCTTCTCATTCATGCAGCTGTATGAATCACTGATCACTGACCTTTAGAATGAGGATGCTAAACACGGTTTGAGATGCTGATTAAATTGACTCTTACATCTGAGCCATGAATTATTGACTTTAGATGAATGGATTATTTTATTCAGCCTATTTCAGCCTAATTTTTTATTTAGCCTAATATCTTTACAACTTAGGCTATGTAGTTTGTATTTATTTTTGAAAATGCATCTATTTACAAGCTGAATGATATTGAAATTGAATATATTTATCTGTATTAGGACCTCAAAAAAATTGTATATACATATTAGGGATGGGTCACGATTTTCAAATATTCGATTAGTTGATTTAATTATAGAATATCGAATAGGTTGTGCGATTATTGTCTTAAAAAATGTCCCCATGTCTTCCATGCTGATGCGGTGGTGACGCGTTCATGTAAGCAGAGGGTGGCGCTGCCAATAACGCACCTAAAAGCTGTCAAAGACAACAGAAGAACACATTGTCTCACTCGCACACTGTAGACTTGCGTGGCATATAACGGTTACAGTAACTCGGGACGATGTCAAATAAGAGTTCTGTGCAGACCATAAACACCCCCGACTGGGTTAGAGGTGTGGCTGAATCCGTGTTAAGAAAGGCGCGGAAAACAAATAACGTGTTATATGGAGCTACTAAAGGGACATGGGTAGCCGCTTACTAGCGGTAGCCTGTTACATTACAGTACATAACATTTCACTTACCACATAGAGTAAGGAGAGATGACTGATAGGATGATGGCGAATGATTTGCAGATCCTGAGCAGCACTGACAAACATAATCTTGTAAAATGTGTGGTACTGCAGAGTGCTGCTCCGTACGTACATGTGATCGCAAATCTCGAAAGTAAAAGTAAAAAACAAGCACACATTCAAAAGCGATTTCAATGCCCCGCATATTAATAACGGCTCCCTGATGCCCGCAATTTATAATTGCCCAACGATATAATTGCGACAGAAGATATTGAAGTAACGTATATTTTTTCCTCCCATCTCGTATCTATTCCCTTTAGGGGTTCCATTTTTTAAATGGAAATATCTTAGCCTTATGAGCAGTTGATTTATGCTAATCGATGGACTGTTATGTTAATAAGTGCCGTCATTTGGTTATGTTTATTATATTAATATGTTTCAGCACGTTACAATCATTATATGGCTTGAGTTAAGGTGGGGGTGGGGGGTGCGATTTTCGAATAATAATCTAATAATACCCAGCGATTTTCAAATATTATTTTTGCTTGGAATGCCCATCCCTAATACATATATGCATATACATTATACATATAACAGTTTGGGGTCAGTAAGATAATAGTTGATGCTTTTACTCAACAAATTGATCAAAAGTAAAGACATTTATAATGTTACAAAAGATTTCTGTCAAATAAATGCTGCACTTTTTTTATTAATCAAAGAAACCTGAAAAATAAAATAAGCAAGTTTTTAACATTGATAATAATAAGACATGTTTCTTTAGCAGCAAATCGACATATTAAAATGATTTCTGACAGATTATTTGACACTTTAGACTGGGGTAATGATGCTGAAAACTCAGCTTTGCCATCACAGGAATTAATTACATATATTGAAATGTATATATTTATATTCATAAAATTTATTTGATATATAAATATATTTAATATAAAACCATAACATATTTTTCTTAAATATATACATGCATGTGTGTGTATTTATATATACATAATAAATATACACAGTACACACACATATATTATGTAAACAAAAACTTTTATTTTGGATGTGATTAATCGCGTTTAATCATTTGACGGCACTAATTGAAATGTATTAAAATTGAAAACAATTATTTTAAAATGTAATAATATTTCACAATATTCCTGTTAGGTGTCGACTGATATGTGATTTTCAGGGCCGATGCTGATACCGATTATTACAGATCAAGTAGACTGATAACCAATATTTTAACCGTTATATATGTCTGGTTTCAAAATGAAAATTAATGTCAAAATTAAGAATAACAAGACCTCTGTCAAAAACTCTTTAAATTATTTTATCGGCAAATCGGTTTTGAAAATGACTGATACCGATAACCATAAAAATGCTTAATATCGGCACCGATAATCGTTCGACCCCTAATTCCTGTTTTTACTCTATTTTTGATCAAATAAATGTAGCCTTGGTAAGCATAAGAGACTTAAAAAAAAACATTTAAATGTTTAGGTGAATAATAAATCTACCTCTGCTGATTCTGTAGGTGACATGCCTTCAGGACTTCTTTGGCGAAGATGATATATTTATTGCCTGCGGCCCCGAGAAGTTCCGCTACCAGGATGACTTCCTGTTGGATGAGAGTGGTAAGATAATGGATAATGTGTCCATCCCTTTTTAAAGTGTGACTGTTTGTTTTCCTAGGACCAACAACAGCTGTTCCACAGACCTCAATTACATGACTAAATTATATTAGGTTGCAATAACTATTAAAAGTTAGTCCTTCACATTCTGTTGTAGTAATTAATAATTAGATTTATAGATTTAAATAAGCTGTTCTGACAAGTAAACATCTTGTCTAATATTGTATTATTTGAGAGTTGGGATTTTAATTTTGATAATAAGCTCTTCCCCTGGTGTTTGTTTTAATTAATTAGCTGCAGCATTTGTTTCCTGCTGTCAGTGCCAGTGTTGTCATTTGCATAAATTTTAAAGCTTTAGTGACATTAACAGCAAATGTTTTCCATTTTTGAAATGCTGCTTTTTGTAAACAAAATAACATATTAAGGTAAAATGTTTATTTAGCAGCACCATTATTTAATGACATTTGTAACTAATATTATCACATTAGTTGATTACTATCCAATTTTATTAAACTAAACTAATTGCTGTTGACATTTACTATGCAGTATCATGCACCAGACTATGAGCTATTTTAAAATCCTATTGATAGATATATTGACTCTGTGCATGTGGTCTGAGAGCAGACCAGCCTGTCAGATCTCCTCTGATCAGACCTCCAGTATGTCCGACTGACATGTTTGGGTCAGACTGAGGTTGCGGTAGATTGATCAGCGGTGACATCAGGTCGTCCACACAGATGAGACGTTCTTTTGTTTTACGGAGACAGGAGGCTCATAGTGTAGAATTGGATGGGGGGAACATTTGCTGAGGCCTCTGAAGTAAAAGCAGACTGAATTCAGATTTGTTTGTCTTTTGCTGCTTTATCAGAATGCAGGGTGGTGAAGTCGCAGTCCTTTGGCCGTATTTCTTCCATGCAGGGCCGCTGCTCTCCCCACAGTGGTGGACCGTCAAGAAGGAGCAAGTCCCCTGGTTCCAGCAGCTCAGGTATGGGTCTTTACAGCAGACTGATGTTTAATTTAATCATGCTTCTAAAAGCATTCCTGTAGCTGTAAACTGTAGGTTGGGTATAGTAGGCTGACACTCATGCATGCAGGAGTGACTCATGAAATCTAAACTGGGTACTTGTTAGTTGATTCATTGCAGTCGCAGAATTCAAAGTTGTAAATTTTTAACCATGGATGATTGTGGAGTGTTGCAGTTTGTAGCCTTAATTATCTTCATATCTCTTTGATTCTCAGAAGATGTGTTTGAGGAGTAATGTCCCAAATTAGGGAACTAATTTAGCTGACACCTGTCACGCATTCTCAATCTCTCCATCTCTAATGAGCTCCTGTGGCAATTAATAGATTCATTTAATGGGATGTTGCAGTGTTCAAGTCACTGTGATGCCTGTGTTTGGTGTTGATGTAGTCTAATTGTCTGCTTAGCTGGAACTTTTCGCAGAGTTCTGGTAATGACAAAACTAACTTTTACATCAGTGGATTGTTAGATGAATGGACTAAGATAATGTATAATTAGATTACTGAACCATTTTTAGCTCACCCAGTACTGAATGGTTTCATTTGCTACCTTCAAGCAGACTAAAACTGCTAATAGCCAAACCATTTTTAGAATAGTAAAAATATTCTATTCTATTCTTTATTACAATCCATTTATTTTCAATTGTTCTATTCTGTTCTACTCTATTCTATTTTATTCTATTGTGTTCTATTATGTTCTGTTCTCTTTTGTTCTGTTCTATTCTATTCGGTTTTAATCTGTCATGTTCTCCTTTATTCTGTTCTATTCTATTCTTATTATGATCCATTCTATTGTTTTCTTCTAGTTCATTCTGTCCTATTATATTTTTATTCTATATTGTCTTATTCTATTCTTATTATGTTCTTATTATTCAGTCTATGTTCTCTTCTATGTTGTTCCACCCTATTCTATTCTATTCTATTCTATTCTATTAAATGTTTTAATCTGTTGTTCTCCTTTATTCTATTCTATTCTTATTATGATCCATTATGTTGTATTCTTCTAGTTCATTCTGTCCTATTCTATTTTATTCTAGTCTGTTGTTTCAGTTCTATTTTATTCTCCTGTTATGTTCTCCTTTATTCTACCTGTTCTATTCTATTCTATTCTATTCTTGTGATGATCCAGTTATCTACAGCTGTTCTATTCTATTCTAATGTTTCTATTCTAATGCCTCTATTTGGTTCTTCTTTATTCCACTCTCCTTTATTGTATTCTATTCTAGTTAGGGGCCAAGCACCGAAGGTGCAGTGGCACCTATTGTATCCGTCAGCGTCATTTTTTTCTTCCGCCGAAAGTCTAACCAAATATGCCAGAGTAAGCTGAACTTTCTGTCCGCCATTTTGATTTATGTTGAAATCCTACTTTTTTTAACTCCTCGCCACTCGTTGGTCCGATTTTCACCAAAATTGAGTCAGATGATCCTCAGACTGTGCTGACAAAAAGTTATGGATTCCGTGTCGATATATGAAACCGTTTTCGTACAGTGCTGCTACAAATTTTAGTTATGGTGCCAAAATGACTCTGAGGCTATATCTCTTCAAAACTTTGACATTATGACACCAAACTTTGTGTGTGCCATTGTCACCTCGCACAGAACACACCAAAATGATTTGATTACAGCGTCACCTGTTGGTCAAAAATCATAAGCCATTTAATCATATCACTAGTGGTTGTATTTATGATTTTTCAGCTATTTCAATTACAATCATCCTAAAATTGCTTTTATTACTCATTGTCGCATTTGGTCTGATGCTCCATGCCATGCTTAGCTTCTCGTTTTGCCTCTGGAGTGCTTGGCCCCACAATTGCTGCTTGCAGCTATATTCTACTCTTATTATTATACATTCTGTTGTTCTATTCTATTCTATTCTTATTATGATCCTTTTTATGTTCTCCTCTGTTGTTTTCTTCTGTTATGTTGTCCTTTATTCTATTCTATTCTATTCTATTCTATTCTATTCATGTTTTCCTCTTATAGGAGCATGGTGTTTAGCTAGTTTATCAGGCAATTAGACCACCTTAGACCACTTTTTTTTCAGCAGGGTTCTGGATGCTTCACTGTTTATGACACATTGGCACAATTTTGCAGTGTTACTCTACACATGCGATGTTCTGACGGCAGTGTAGTCACAGTGTTTTTGTGAAACTGTTCATGCAGTTCTTGGCTTATTTTGATGCTGTGGATCATTTGTCCACTAGTGAGTGTTGTCTGTTTAAACAGAGGCCTCTCAAATTGGATTGTTTGTAGCTATTTCTAACTGAACAAAAACTGCACAAAATGTTATCCTGAACATCCGATTGATCTGGGTTTCATTATTTTTCCTGGAATAGAGCATGAATCATCACTTCCTGATGTTGATGTTCCAGGCAAACACCAGGCTTTCATCCGGTTAGGCTTTCATCACTCAGTAAGCTTTAGAGAGACATGTCAAAAACAACAACAAAAACAGAACGATTATTGTGCTTCAGCTTGGGCCTGTTCTTCAAATTTTGTATTCCAGCCAGGTACAAAATGAGTCCTCCGAGCCGTCTCGCTGCGTGTGCTGTTTTGTAATGAGCCGGTACTGAGTATCAACCTCAAATGGTTGACAGTGTGGAAACGACTCAGGTGGGCATAAACTGGGTGATTGGGCCAAATTGTTTACGAGGGATATTGCTAATGTTGTTTTGGGAGAACAAACTTGTTTGGCTACCAGGCGTGAGTGTGAATGATATATGGAAAGAGGTACCTGATTACAAATATAACGCTTCCAAACTCTGGCAGAATGTCTCACGGGGCAGAGATCTGCCATGCAGTCTGGACAAACAAATCTAGTGTAATTGTTTTTTATTGATCTGAAAGCTCATTCAAACAGCACTAGTGTTATTTTAGGGTCATTGATATATATATATTATAGATTTTATTAATATTTTTCATTAAATTATATTTATGTGTTTTGTTTTCATTTTAATTTTAGATAAAGTTTCAGTAATTTAGTTTTTTATTTTTAATGAGTTTTAGTTTAAATGAAATTGAAAAAATGTTGCCTTGGCAGCTAGCTAAAATAAAATTTTAATTTTTTTATAAGAAGACATCTTTAACAGATATTTCAATTAGAAATGCTTTGGCTGGTAATAAATTTGCTGGTGCCTTTGTTCAGATGTTTCCAAAATATTACAGTCAAGGATAACAGTGGACTAAGCAAAAGTAATGAAATATGGATATTACTTCATTTGCTGGATAGTGGCTCACACACTGTGAACATCAGGGACTGAAGTTTGATGTAAGATGATATTAGTCATTTCCCTCTGCGTTTCAGGTCAGCACAATATCTTAATCATAAATGAATGGGATGAAATGTATTATTTACACTGAACAAAATTATAAACGCAACACTTTTGTTTTTGCCCCCATTTTTCATGAGCTGAACTCAAAGATCTAAGACTTTTTCTATGTACACAAAAGGCCTATTTCTCTCAAATATTGTTCACAAATCTGTCTAAATCTGTGTTAGTGAGCACTTCTCCTTTGCCGAGATAATCCATCCACCTCACAGGTGTGGCATATCAAGATGCTGATTAGACAGCATGATTATTGCAGGTGTGCCTTAGGCTGGCCACAATAAAAGGCCACTCTAAAAAAGTCTTAGACCTTTGAGTTAAGCTCATGAAAAATGGGGGCAAAAACAAAAGTGTTGCGTTTATAATTTTGTTCCGTGTATATTGCTTTATATTTTTAAATATGTTATATATTAATGTCATGTATTATATCTTAATTTATATAATTAACATATTATTTATGTAATTTATAGTTTTTCATGTAAGTAGCCTACATATTTTAATTAGTTTCACATAGCATATGATGCAGTTTAACATTTAACTTTTCTTTTTAAGTGACTCAAAGTCAGTATCTATCCTGAGTCTGTTTTTGCCTCCAGACATGTGTCTTGAAGTTGAACCCCAACAACATCGCAGACAGTACATTGGGTGCTTGTGTGGTTTGGTCGTTGTGTAATTTAGCTGTCTGCAAGATCTGTTGACAACCTTTCCTATTCATGTGGAGATTGCAGTATAAATTAATTATACAGTATATATAATTATACCACCAGAACCACTAGCCACTTATTTAGTAGTTTAATTAAGGCTGTCGATTTATTGTGGCTTGTTTAAAACCAACCTTAAATGATATTTACCACCCATTTGACTTATTTCTGAGTGAAACATATATGTATATCATTATATACAACATATTTATATCATTAATATCATATAAGAAGTAGGGGAGGGTGATATATTTATATTATATAACGATATGAGTATTTTTATTTCATGGTAATTATATATATCACAATATAGTTATATTTGCTTTAAATAAGGTCTTTTTGATATCACAATTTTTGATACCATAGAAATGTCATAATTCTTGTCACCAGTGTCAATATCACAAAAAACTAATACTAGCCTAAATAAAATAAAAAAATAAAATAAAAAAAAACTCAAGCTCACTGAAGACAAGTAAACAGTCAGTGATTAAATAATAAGAAACTAATTACAAGCAATAGGACAAAAAAAAAAACTACAGTAGAACAAATAAATAAGAAATACTACATAAAAGTAATCAAATGTATAAAAACACTGCATATTCACTGTGTAAATAAAATATATATATCTTCTAATTAAAGTTACAATAGTGATTTAGTCGAGAGCAGTGAGAACTGTAAATTATATAGTTACAAAAGTGATTTAGTCAAGAGTAGTGAGAGATTACAGACAGCAGGAATATTAGACTGCTGTCACTTTAAGAGCTGCTCGGATCTGTTACACGTGTGTTTTCTTTCTCAGCTGTTTGCTTTCACTTAAGACCTAAATTAGTGTGTTTACGAGGATACTTGCAAAAACGGGCATCTTGACATACAAGTGTGTGTATTTAACTGTTCAATGCCTAATTTATAAAGCGGCCAAAATCTCTACCGGTTGACAAATTCTACAGGTTTGTGTCTGTTGTGTCTACCGGTATATGACCCACCTCTAATCAGAAGACACATCAAAGACATATTATGGCTTTTCACTGTAAATTATAAGTTGGCTTATTCTTTTGAATTGTACATTTACCAATTGGCATTTGCTAAAATTACAAGAACCGTCCCATTAATTACAGTTTTTCACTGTATAAATTAAGGAAACTTACTGTTTAACTAATTAACAAGGTTTTACTGTAGCATTTTTAAATTCTTTTACATGACGATTTTTATAGTGTATAAACTTCGTAAAAAATCCCTCTAATCATCAACATCCATCCCTCAGAAACTATATGTGATTATATGAAATGAGATCCAGTTTGAAAGTGAAGTTCTCACTGCTGTTCCCTGTCACTATGAGCTCTGACTAATGTTTTCCCTAAGTTTGTCATTTGGTAATTACACACATGAATGACGGCTGATCTGATAGTCCTTCAAATCTGTTTTCCATCCCCAAAATAACACGATGATGCATTCTCACTCTCTCCACATGCTGAATTATGTCAGGCTGTGATAGTGTACACAGATGGCCAGGGGAGCACGATATTCAGATCACAGTGACACACAAACACAGAGTAACATTGATATCTAAGACTGAAATGGATTTATATATTACTTAATGTGCTTTGAGGAGCTCTGAACGAAATCATATTAGTGGCCATATCTCTGAATCATAGCATAGTCAGATCTTCAAACAGCTTTATTTGTATTCACACAGTGCTTGAGATACTTCAGAAATCCACTCAAAACACCACGTCATCCGCTCGGCTGCACTTACACCGTTCAGAAGCACCTTCACAGTGTTTTGCCGTGAGATCTTTTTGGAGATCTTTAGAGTCACCCACACAGACAGCGCTGCAACTACAATATGGCATGTTTATGAGCTAAACCCCTCCCTCTGTGGCTGTTTATGACGCAAGGTGTGCGTAGAAGGCTGCCTATGATCAGCCAGCAGACATACATCCTCTCCTCCTCTCCCATTCTCATTCATACTCTCGCTGCCTAACAGTCACTATGAGCGCAGGAGGAATTGCAGTTTGCTCTGGCAGCCTGCTGCACTCTTTAGCAGTTAGGACAAATGGGTTTGTGCAGCAAGTTCGTAAAGGTGAGCTATTTTGAATTGTATTTGTTTTTCTTGCTTGAGGTGGTGTGGAAGAATTAAATGAGTTCTTTGTTTAGTTTGGTATTGTATCTGAATGAAGGGTTAATATTTATGCTTTGCAGATTTTTCATGGCTGTGATACTTGTTTTCATCATATTTCTAAGCATTATGTGTATGCTTCTAATATTAAAGGATCTATTTGTAGTGAAAGTGTTTTAGTGGTCAATGCTTGATATAATAATGCTTCATATTTCATATATATATATATATATATAAATATTACAAATAATATTATAATTATTTTTTGCATTATCTTCATGACAATTAATTGCAACAAAGGAATTATCATTAAAACTTTCATTTTCTTAAAGTATTTTCAGTGGAAAAAAGTTATATAATATATACTGCATTATATAATTTTTTTTTTTTAAATGCTTAGAATTGGAACTTTTTTTTTTTCGTGACAATTAAGCAAATGCAACCAAGCAATGATCCTAAAAATAACTTTCATTTTCTTCCTGCAAATTGATTTTGGTGTGAAATATCTCATTCTTGATCAAATGTATGAGATTTACCAACCTGCCTTGATTCATATTCCAACATTAACTGAATATGAATTCTGTTTTTCTGTTTTTCAGCTAACGGAACAGCAGGTAGTCAGCTGTCGACCCCACGGTCAGGCAAATCCCCCAGTCCATCTCCCACCAGTCCAGCCAGTCTGAGGAGACGAAGGGTGAGACCTGTCACTCCAAAAACCTTTCACAACATCTGCATTTTCTGTAATGCACTAAAACGCCTTTAAAGTGGACGCAACTTATCTACATTTGCAATGTCTTTCACTGCATCAAGCAAAACCATCAAACGCTTTTATCTTTCTGATTGACCCTAATTGTATTTCAGGTGCTTTAATTTGCCAATATAGGTCTGAATCACACTGAATTGCAGTTAAACACATCCTTTCTAAATAATTCCACATTCACCCAAAATGTATCCTAGCAATAACAGACAAGCTTCTTGACCTGGCTGTATGCCTGCTTCATTTCCACTCTCTCTATGATAAACCTAAATCATGTCAACATTACCCTGTTTTTCTGCTTTGCTAACTTATGGTATTAAAGAAGATGTATTTGCTTGTGTTCTGTAGCTCAAACAAGTGAAATTACAGTTTTAACATTCTGTTAAATTTGTTCCATTTACTGTTCCATTTAGCTGCATATTCTCAAAAAGCTAGCTGATTCTCACAACAGTGTCAAAATGGTGGGCTCATCTTGAATGATTATTTTTTAATTACTGGAGTAATGGCTGCTAAAAATGCAGCTTTGCTATCACAGAAATACTGTAAATTACATTTATTTTTTTGGGTATTCACATAGAAAAGTGTTATTTTTAATTGTAATAATGTCACATTAGTATTGTTTTGCTGTATTTGATCAAATCTTACCACATCTTACCAGCCCCAAACTTTCGAACAGTAGTGTCTATACAAGAATCTATACACATGCCAAAGATGACTTGAAATAGCTTTAAATATAGTTACCTGCTGAAAATGAAAAATTCTATTACAGATAATTCTCTGAAATGTAGATGTAGTGCCTGAAGACAAACATGCAACATTGTTTCAACTGAACAGCCTTTTGAATTAATATTCGGTGCAGCTAATATAGTCTGACTGAAAATGTGTTCATTCTTGGTCGATGGTGTGTTAAAATAAATATGTCATGGTGTCAGTGGATTAAACATCGCTCAGTTTCACCTCGCCTGCCCCGCTCCAGACGTGAATATTCTTAGCACTCCCAAGCTGTTTCCATAGAAACTGACCTTTATTTCCCTCTGCAATACCTCTGCTCAGTTTAAAGGGATAGTCCATTCAAAAATGAAATTCTGTCATTTACTCACCCTCAAACCTGTATAACTTTCTTTCTTCTGTGAAACACAAAAGACGACATTTTGAAGGATGTTAGAAATGAAAAATGTCCATTTTCTCTGCTCAGTTTAAAGGGATAGTCCATTCAAAAATGAAATTCTGTCATTTACTCACCCTCAAACCTGTATAACTTTTTCTTCTGTGAAACACAAAAGACGACATTTTGAAGGATGTTAGAAATGAAAAATTTCCATTTTCTTTTGACTTCCATTGTATGGACAGGAAATACAATGAAAATCAATGGGAATTGAAACTGTTTGGTTATTGACATTCTTCAGAATATCTCATTTCATGGTCATCAGAAGAAAGAAATGTATACAGGATTGGAACGACATTAGAGTGAGTAAATTATGACTGAATTTAAATTTTTGGATGTACTGTCCCTTTAAGATATGGGTCTATTTAATACAGAATGTCAACATTTATGTGTGTGTTTTTTAACACATTTTTATTGCAAAAAAGACATGGATGATAACATGAAAATATTAATAGAAAATAAATTTTTATATATATTTTAACTCCCCACCCCCACCCCCGAATGCACCCAAAAATTCAGTTATACAGGTAAAGAAGTTATTATACAAAGGCTAAGACGGACATATCCAACATTTTCAAATACAAAAGCACAACATATATACGCATATCAATCAGTAGAGTGAGAGGTATTTATTGCCTGTGCCAATATTTGGTTATTTTCCAGAAACTGTATAAACAGATCCCAAATTTTATGGTAGTCCTTTAGTTTGCCCTTTATACTGTAGGATATTTTTTCCAATACAATATAATATGCCAGATCTTTCAACAAAATTTATGGTTTATATAATAACTTGTTTAACAATATTTCAAAAGACAATGACAAAATGAGTTAGTCTTCTCACTAACCCAAAAAAAAAAAAGTTGTAAAATGGCCCTTCAATTTCCCTGACAGGGCTCTCAGCACAGTGGCTCCTCCCTCTCTCTGGCCTCTACCAAGGTGTGCAGCTCCATGGATGAGGGCGATGGGCCGGGCAGTGAAGGTGATAAAAGTTTATCATTATTGTTTTATCATCTTCATCTGAATGATACATTCCAAATCTTTTCTTCTAGCTGAGCTGATGGAGGATTGTCCTCAGGTTCCTGCTTCCATAGCCGAGAGGTACAAGGTGGGACGAATGATTGGCGATGGGAACTTCGCTGTGGTCCGAGAGTGTGTGGAGAGATCCACAGGCCGAGAGTACGCTCTGAAGATCATTAACAAGAGCAAATGCAGAGGGAAGGTAAGATGTTTTCTAAAAAATCGTATTCAGTGACGACAATGCACATTTTTGATATCACACAAAATAATGATGCAAGATCATCTGTGTTACATCTGTGGCTCACAGGAACACATGATCCAGAATGAGGTGTCCATTCTTCGGAGAGTGAAGCATCCTAATATTGTTCTGCTGATTGAAGAAATGGACACATATAGTGAACTCTACATGGTCATGGAGCTTGTCAAGGTGAAACATCTAACATTCAGCTCAATACATTCTTTACATTTTACTTTATTTTTTAAATTAATTATTTTATTCAGCAAGGATGCATTCAATTGATCAAAAGTGACAGTAAAGACAATTGTGTTTGTGTAATGTTACAAAAGATTTCTATTTCGCATAAATTTCAAACTTTGAAAATAAAATTTTCTATTTATCAAACAATCCTGAGAAAAGATTGATCATGGTTTCCACAAAAACATTACCTATTATTATTAATCAGAATTGTTTCTTCAGCAGGAAATAAGCAAATTTGAAAGATTTCTGAAGAATCGTGTGACACTGAAGACTGGAGTAATGGATGCTGAAAATTCAGCTTTGCCTTTACAGAATAAATTACATTTTAATCAAGACTTTGTAAAAGAGCATAATAGGACCCCTTTAAAATAGAAATTTATTATTTTGAATTGTAATAATATTTCATAATATTATTGTCATTACTGTATTTTTGATCAAGTAAATGCAGCCTTGGTGAGCATAAGATACTTCGTTTGAAAACATTAACAACTCTTACAAACCTCATACTGTAGATACTGTAGAAACATAATAAGAAACTGACTACTTTTCAGTAATGTTTTTTGTATTTCATTAAACTTGACTGTTCAGATATTGTCCCTGAAATTGTGTGTGCATGAACAGGGTGGCGACCTCTTTGATGCCATCACCTCCTCCAACAAATACACAGAGCGGGACGCCAGCGGGATGCTGTATAACCTCGCCAGCGCTATCAAATATCTGCACAGCCTTAACATTGTTCACCGTGACATCAAACCTGAGAATCTTCTGGTGGGTGGTGGAGTATTACAGAGAGAATATTGTCACTATACAGTAAATCACAGTGTTACTTTCACAAAGGCAGCTTGGAATGACACTCACATCTGAGAGAGGCAAAGGCAATATGTTTTTATGGAGTGCAGAAACCTTAAATAACCCTTCTTACACAAGCTTTAGAACAACGATAAATTAACTCAATACTGGGCCTAGTTTACCCAGCTTATAACTTCAGACACAACACTGTGTTCAAAGTAGTGTTTCTCTAATGACAGCATGAAGAACGTCTCGGTTATGTACATAACCCTTGTTCCCTGATGGAGGGAATGGAGACGTTATGTCGTGACAACATTAGGGGTCTTACTTGGGAGCCCAAATCCTCTCTGATTAAGAGAAAACGCCAATGAAATTTGGCTAGTGGATTTTGCATGCTGAGCCACTCCCCGTGCATACGGGTATAAATAGGCGACAGGTGCATCCACTCATCAGGTTTTATGCTGAGGAGCCGAGAACTTGTCCCTGGCAACCAGCGATGGTTCAAGGTTGTGGCATGGGGACATAACATGTCCGTTCCCTCCATCAGGGAATGAGGGTTACGTACGTAACCGAGACGTTCCCTATCTGTCGGTCACTATGAGTTATGTCGTGA